AGTGGTAGATATGAATAAAGACAGATGATAATGGTTGAGTTCATCAGTCAAAATAAATTACGGGAACATCACGAACCACCAAAAGTTTAAAATTAGTGATGAAGTAAAGTGACTATTTTTAAAAATATTCTCAATGATTGGATGAATTTACATTCACGAGATTTTTGGATTCATAAGTATAACATTCAATTGCTCCTGGAGTAGTAGTTTATTTTTTATTTTAATTGTTAAATTTACTAATATAATTTTTGTTAAGGGAGATCACGAGACCCCTCGTTTTGATAATTTCTCACTTCTTGAAGTAAGTGGAGAATTACTTTTGCGAGTCAAGTTGCAAATAGTAAATCTTATATAACAATACAAAGATCACAAATAAAATATAATTTTTCACCCGAAGTGGAAGATTAGTGACAAAAAAATTAAGGAAGTACTCCTGATGTAGCAATTTGTTTTCTTGTTACTATTATTATTGAATTTTTTCTTTGTTGAAAAATTATTAGACTCGTCCGAATTGGACTACTGTATTTCCTGAAGTGGATGCAATTATCAGAAATTTAATAGTGACAAATTGAAGTCCCAAATAAATTGAGAACTGGTAATGATACGAAAATTATATCTAATCACCAGAAGTGATAGATTTTAATGAAAATAAAATAATCCACATGAAGTGAAAAGTTGAAGAGAGCAAAAAGGGTAAAAGATAGAAAGTGCTATTGTTATAGCATAAAAGATCATCGTATACCTACTTTGTGCTAAATACATATTGTTACTCTCTTTCAAGAACCAGAAAACTACTTATGTTAACAAAAGTGTTAACAATATTATATGTTCTCCCTGAAGGTGAACAAATTAAGAACCATAACTATTATGGATAATCACCCTTAAGGTGATATTAGTTATCTGTTGATAATGAAAATATCCGGTGGTAGTTTATTTTATATTTTATATAAGTAATTTCTTTATTTTATACTTTATCGTATACTTTATTATTCCTTATGATTTATCAGTTTAGGCAATGTCATCATTCTTTTGTTAGATCAAAATTAATTTAATGCTCCTGTAGAGCATCTCTATAAATTTCTCCACGAAATTGGATAAAATCTCCAGAAGAGCCTAATTTACTATGGCAAACTAGAATAACATGAATGCTCCCTAACTACTGGAAATATTTAAGTACATTTCTCCATAAATCAAATTGGATGAAATATCCTGTAGAGCGTCAGTTATATAATACTTTATATGTGTGCTCCTGAAGAGTAAAAATACTTTGTCAGAACGAAAATAATTCTTTAAACAATACTCCTGCAGAGTAGATAAAACTCCATTAGAGTAAATGCACTTATGAAGAAGAGCTGTTTTGACATGTGTGAATAATTAGTTCTTTATTATCTCTAGAAAAGAACTTGTGAATTAGTCTCTAGAAGAGTAAATAAAATATGTCATGAGCAAATAAAATTTTGCCCGAATGTCAAAAGTGTTCGAGAAAATATTTTCGAATATCTGAAAATTGTTATCATATACTTGTACATTAAGAATACAGTTTCAAGAAGAAAAATTGTTTTAATCTTTGTATTCTTTTGTGTTAAAATATTATACATGCATTACTATCGTTGGGTTTTATAGTAAACCAGAAGTTTACTAGGGAACCAGAAGTTCACTTCTCATACCAACAAGTCAAATCAGAAGTTTACTGATTTTTATAAACTTATACATTTGACATAACTAAGTTCATGAGTTTTAAATTTGGAGAATCGGGAGTTTCTTCCAACAAATTAACTAATGTGCTAAAGGATTGCCATCTGTGTGCTTGTCATTAACTTGCAACCTGGAGTTTGTAAAAGTTAATTATAGACTTCAATTTAGTTATGTGTGTAATTTCATATTCTCCTTTGAGAAAATTTTGATTTGATAGTTCTGGTGCATGAACTTAATACCAGGATAAATGTTTCGGCGATAATACTTGAACATACAATGCCTATACAAGCAAAAGTGAAACGGTCCCGTAGAATCGTTCATTAAATGTGTTCAAAAGGAAAGTAAGCACCCCATATATACAATTGAGAACGTGTTGAAACATAGAAAATATCAATCCAAATGGGTTATTTCAAAAATTCTCCTATACATTGATTTTTTGTCAGAAACCACACATATCCATCTTCAAAATTTAGATGTGTGGCTTATTTTAGTTGTTCCACCACAATGCACGCAAAGATGGAGGCCCTGGAAGAGGTTAAGAACATATGTTGGATTTTGAACCTCCAACATTTGGAGTTATTGATGTTGGATTTTACTATTCGATTGGTTCATTGTCTGTTTGACGAGTTAGTTACTCCAAAAGGAGATCTATTTACTACTTGATTGGCTGACAATCAGTTTGACGAATCAGTTATCCCAGCATCAGGGAGAGAAGTGAAAATAGTTGATTAATAAATTAAATGGATGACATCATTATCTCATTAGATCCTTAATAATATGAACCTGAAGTTCAAGAGATAATGTTTTAAACCATATATTTGTATGACCAAAACGTGTAATTATGTTACATGCAAAAACTGTTAATGTTTAAAATTTTGACGTTACGTCCCTGAAGGACTATCTACCTCTATTCTTTAATTGAACGTCTATTTGATAAGTGGTAGAATGGCCGATTCCAATAATTAGAATCCTTGTAAATGAGAATGTTTAGATCTATTGAGATGGTAAATACAAGTGATGTAATGATTTTCCAATACTGTGAATATAAACTTCCAGAAGAAGAACAAAAATATTTGGAAAATTTAGTAATTATGAGATCTCATTACTAAAGAAAGATGGAATCGATCGGCACTAAAGTGTCGATAGGAAATTTGCTTATACTGCAGTAGTTAGTAATATGAATGAAAATAAGGACCATGAAATGAAAGTCTGTTCTGAGGGCAGACATTAAACTTTTTGGCCATAATAAATGAAAAGTCGCAATACACACACCTGAAGATGTGTAGGTAAAATGAAATTGCTTGAGAAACTAAAAAGTTTTACAAGTAATATAACGGCTAAATGCTATTGGGCGATTGTGCAAAACATTAACAAGCAACCAACTTGTTGTACAATTTTTCTAATGTCGGAATGTTAATCGTGAGGAGATATGTTTTCTTGTGGTGGATGAAAAAAAATTCTTCTGTTATTTGCTACCTTTGGCAGCAAATAAAGAAATAAAAATGCGTCTATGGAATGTAGTGATCACTTGAAATTTGATATTTGAAATATGATACTTGATATTTGATAATGACGTCTATGCGAAATCTTAGAAGGATTCAATACGGAACATGGTTCCAATTCTCGAGAAAGTAATTCGAAAGACTTGCGTAAGTGCTAGTGTCTTCATGTGTTTAGACAATATTTAGGTGCATATTTTTTTGAATATTTGGTTTATGCACTCGTCTATATACATATTTTATCTGAATATGTTATGTTTGTTTGTGATTTTTCAGGCATTTAAATGATCATATATGTATGATAATGATATATGTGTGCTTAGAACTCAATTAACACTAAACTCTTGAAGAGTTTGAAAAGACTAGATATTATTGAAACTCATTATGGAGTTCGACTAGCCTCAAAATTAATATAACTCCGGAAGAGTTCATCATTATTGAAACTTCAAAATTAGAGAAGTTCAAAAGGTTGCTAAATTCAAAAGGTTGCTATTTGTCCGAAGCAAGAAAAATGAAAGCTGACTTTGAATAGAATCTCGGTCTTAGTTTGACCGTAGTATCTTTACATTTATCTCCGTTGAGCATACTTGATTAAAGTCTTGATGTGCGTATAGATCCTTTATCGACCTTCTAATAATGATATAAACCGATTTGGTCATAAAGTATCATATTGTAATATTTATAAAATATCGGTTTATCTTATCAAATTCTCAAAAAATGAAGTATTGCATACATTGATACTTTTGGTGTACAATGGTTATGGATCTCTGTTATTCTCAATCTCTCCAAATTATACATGCTATGTGAAGATTATCGTCTGCAAGCTGAAGTAACTATTTAGAAAATCTATTAACTATGGATTTCAATATTGGTGAAACTGGTCAACATCTTAGTATGCGGCGAGAAGATTACAAGTCATGTACTCAACAAGGGGAGCAACACTACGCTGTACTTTTTTTCCCTTGATCTAGATTTTGTCCTAATGGGTTTTTCTAACAAGATTTTTAATGAGGCGGCGTCATATTTGGGAATGTAGTCTTTTTCATTTATTAGATTTTTATCCCACAAGATTTTTCCTAGTAAAGGTTTTAACGAGGTATTATCCCAAGGAATGGACATCTAATGGGGAGTGTTATAAATATTTATTGGTGTGGATGTCCACAAGATAGCAGAGTTATACAAAGAATCAACTGTTCAGAGATAATATTTAGTTAGATATTGTCATAGTTAGATCTTATCATTACTGTTCTTATCCTTGTATCTTTTGCTTATAGAAGGAGATTACTCTCCACCAATTATGATACACAAATCATCCTCTCTTTCTTCCTCTCAACTTGTTCTCTTCATCTATTATTATTTCTCTTCTTCCTCTCTACTTGTTCTCTTCATCTATTGTTATTTCTCTACAGTTATTCATATTTATTTTATAACAACACAATAATTAACTAAAAAAATCCAGCAAATGATTGATAGTGAAAAAATATTTTACTTTCATAATCACGTACATCATTTCTTCCTTGGAATCAAATAATTATTTGAATTAATTATGATATTATTTTTTTACTATTTAAATTTCAATTTAAATTAAAGTAGTGATCCTCTTCCTCGCTGGTTCTGATTTCCTGGGTAAACTTAGGGTTCCTTTTACATGCTACAGATTGAAAGTTTGAAACGTTGGGTGCCATCTCTTCTCTATCACTAGACAAAAACTTCACCGTCACCATTCGATAATAGCAAGCGATAATAAGTATGCTGAGCCACTCAAACCTATCTTTACCATGTTCATTCTTCGCAAAAACTTCATGATCACGAATCACAAGACTTCTCAGCTTTTTCCATGATTATATCCAACTCAGGTGCAATTCCAATATAAGGGTGGGACTTTAAGCTTAATAGAGTCTTCTTTGCATCCATCGGCAAGTCTAGATCATTAATAAATTTTCTCATCATTTCTTCAGTCACTTCTCTTCCTGTAGTTAGCCCCTGTAATTTCACATGAGGCTCCGGAATACCGTGCGTCCGCATCACCTAACCACAAAAAGGGGCAAAAATTGAAGTCAAGGAGGCAGGACTTACTTCCAAAATGAAAATGGTCATGACTGATACATACCGCAATCATTCTACACCAAACTACCCTAGGGATGAAACACATTTACGCTTGATACCTCAAATTTGAGCTCAGAGTAAACAATTAACAATATGTACTCCATCCCAAAAAAATTTGTCTTGTTCCAACCCAAACAAAGATCCTAGTTGTAATTCAATATAAAAGTCAAAAAAATATATTACAATGTTTGATGTTTAATTCTACTAAAATTTCAAATTTAATTGTCGATCATATTCAACTTCAGCAAAAATCAAATCATAACAAAGATATCAAACTAAAGATTCAACCTTGTAGCTTTCAACATATTTGTAGGACTTCAGACCATGTGTCGTATAAAAAAAAATGTGAGTTAACATCTTTAGACTTCAGAATCAGATTTCAATTTTCCATCAACATGCGCCTATGTCTCTAGGTCACACTGTTAAACCACACAGCTCCAAAAGCACTTCAATTACGACAAAAGAAGTCGATGTTTCACCAAACTTCAAAATTAGAACACTTCTTTTGGTGAACAAGAAAGAAAAATTACCATCGGTGTAGTGCAGAGAGTAAAGGTCAAATTTGAGGTAAAGCTACCCTTCTAAAGCAACAATTAAAAGAGAATCAAAGAGAGACTCGCAAATAAGGTCAAGCAAATTACGGATGGAATAAAAAGGGAAAAAAGGAAGTGAAAACAAGAAACTCTTCCCAGTTCGTTCATATGTTCAAAGTCACAAAAATTATTAGGTTACTCACCCTTTGTACTGGGTCTACAAGCACTTCCCATCCAAAATTCAAGTCTTCCGTCAATAAATCTTCATTGACCTACAAAATTACAAAACCCCGAATTAAATGCAAGTGTGAAGATGATAAAATTGTCCAATCGACAGAATGAGTAGAGATTTTCGGATCAACTAATATCGTACTAAATTCCCCCACCTGCATCCTAACTCAAAAACAGACCTTTTCAAAAAAAACAAAAAAAAAACAGAACATAAAAATTAAATAAAAAAAAGGGAATAAGAAGAAAAACCAAGCACTAGAAATTACTAGGAGCTTAAGAGGGCAACAAGGAAGACATTGTTTCCTGATGGAAAGTTTGTTTGAAAAAATGAAATCAATAGCAATAGGAGAAGGGACAAATGACACAGAAAGAGAAGAAAACCGGGTCAGTTGGAATCTCTTCCATCTTAGTCTAAGCTATCTGAATACCGCTAAAAGAAAATCGGATGTGAATCTCGTAGATTCTCGCTACCCTTAAAACGTAATTGCTACACAGAAAACTCTGAATTTTGAAAGTAAATACTACAAGTTATTGGAAATGAAGAGATACCAGAACCTCAATTAACTTTATCATCTTTCCACGACATACAAGTATCCATTTTATGTGAAAGATCCAAGATAGAAGACTACTAAAACAAGATTTTTCCCCCAACCACAAACAGGAGACATCAATGGAATTGTATAACCACCAACACCCAAAAGGATCCACGTTTGATGAAGCTCGTCCATTATATTCCTAGTCCTGGAGTATAATGGGACTTGCGAGTTTCAAGAAAATTAATAAGAGTACCCAATTACTTACCTGAAGTTTCACCAAACCCTGCAATGCATTCTTGTAGGCGAGAAGGCAATGACCAAAAAGTACACCCAGATTTCTCAAAACAGTGGAATCAGTTATATCTCTCTGAGAAACATAGCAAAATTAGAAACTCCGAATGTAGGGTTAGAAGAAAGAAAACAGATTGAATACTACAGTTGACACCAATCCTTTACCCACTAAATACTAATCAAGCAATCAATTTGGTAACATCTTAGGTAGTGAGAACCGAGGGTCTTGCTCAACTTAAGAGTCGGAGATCACACATAAAGCCGCAAGAAACAAAAATATAGGAAAGATTGCAAGACGAGAAAGAAAATGAAGCCAGCTTTGAAACCATCACGATGTATGATAACATAATAAAAACCATCAAAACATGAGACACAATATCCTATGAATAGAAGAAAGAAATCCCCACACAATTATGAGAGGCTCCTCTAGAAGAATTCGCATGATTTGATTTATCGTTTGCGCTTCAAGCCAAAAAAAGATGAATGGACTTTTAAGCGATATTGGTCCTACTTAATTATAAATCGATTTTCTTAAAGGAATTTTTCGCTGAATCTTGAATGGTCATAAATGTTGCTTTAAATGCGACCGAAATTTTAAATTTGATTCCTATATGATAAAGAAAAGATGTAAAAATGCAAGAATAGTATATTTATTAAAATGAATTTCCTTAAAAAAAAGGCTGCAGAACAAACTAAGCAGAAACCTACAACAAACCAAGCCGAGCCACACGCAGGGCAGCCTCTCAACCTAGCATATATTATACTAGGAACAATACAAGTGATCATTGTTGCAATTACTTCTATAGGGATTGATGACTTCCAAGTCGTACTCGAATATAAATTTTAAGACTGTTATTAACTCTGATCATCTACAAACATTGTGTCGTAGTAAAGTCCTTAATTAAGATTTCTTTTAGCTTTGTGATAATAATGGACTATATCAAAATGGCTAAATCAAATTCTGGATATTAGTCAAGTTGCTGGAAATCATACATCAAGTGCAGCAATGTATCTTGGATTACAATAGAAGCAAGGACAAAGCTATGAACACTTGACCCTCCAGGACCAAATAGAGTTGGAAACATACTGCGTGTGTTGTTGTATTTTGAAAAGAAATATGTTGGGTGCATGTTGTATTTTAAGTCTTTGAATTTTACTGGTAACAACTTCATACTTAAATAAAAAGAAAATTAACATTATATTCCATGCTAGACATAAGTGGCTAAAGATGAAAGCACAAAACTTCCAAGACCATAAATTAATCCATAGTTACCTGAAAGCGCGAGATAGGTAACTTCATGCTTAAATGAGATAATCCCTCGTTGGCTAGGACAAGATTTTCTTCGCTATTTTCAAAATCAACCGGGCCAACTTTGTGAGCAAGAGTTGATAACATAATATCTCCTGTTATATTCATCTGTCCAAATATTAAGGAATAGATATTTATTCAGGTTGCATTAAATAAAGCAAGAACATAGTAAACATTTATGAGAAAAAGAATTACCGTCTTGAAGTATCCTCTTGAGATATGTCCCCGCATATCTTGATTAAAAGTGACCAATATGTTGTTGAAACACGAGATAGAATGGAAAAGTTTTCCCAAGCAATCACGAGTTCCGATCTACATTACAATGACACCGAAATCAAAACGCATTTCAATCAATGTTCATTCACATTATCCAAAAGGGTATCTGAATGTGTTCTCTCTCTCTCCCCCATTCTTCCAATTGACCAAAATGAGGTCATTTTTTCTTTCCGGTAATGCTCCAGCACCTTTTATTATTTTTAACTATTTACCCAACCACGGTTTAACCTTTTACACTTTTTTAGGGGACTAGTCTAATATCAAATCTACCCTTTTATTTTCGGAAATATTACAACTTACCTTTGACCAGTAAGTCATGGAAGTTGAAATTGTTAATATTTTGTCTACGAATTGATTGTATGACTTTCATCATATATATCATTTAATGGTATTAAGAATTGGAGTGATAATTACATTATTGTTTAAAAACTATTATAAAATTGCTAAAGGTGTTTATGTGATTTTTCACCTTTAATAATTATTTTCAAGAGAACTAATGTAAGTGTCAATATGCAAATGAAAATTCAATAAAAAGATAGAAAAGATAAAGAAGTATTTAGATTAGTAAGACATACCTGTGTCACAAAGGGATCGAAACTAATTCCAAGAGCTGTGACAAATTCCTTAGCAATTGGTAGCCAATCTATGTTAGGGTTTGCTGATACATATGCATTATAGTTACCAACAGCGCCTGCAAATTTTCCCGATATATTGAACTTCGAAATACGTTCCCTTTCAGCTTTTAACATATTGGAAAAAATGGCTATCTCCTTTCCAAGGGTTGTAAGTGAAGCAAGCTACAAAAATTTGCAATTATGAAAATAAAGTTAGGCGTAAATTTCTTTACTCAAAGTAATTTCACAGGTTTCAAAGACACTGTCTTTTTCAAATCCCTACAACTAGGGTTTGCCTATTTCGTTAGCCTATTAGTCTGATTTATATATACGTGTGTGGGATTGGTATAGACAAACGAGACTTTCACCTGCCCGTGAGTAAGAGGAAGAATAGGAACGCAAGCACTTTGCTTAGCCATGTTATGTATTGCCAGAATCACTTTATCCATGGCTGGCAAGATGACACTATCCAAAGCACTTTTCATCATCAGCGCAAGAGCAAGGTTATTGATGTCTTCAGCAGAGCGTGGAAAATGAGAAAATTCAATCACCTAGGATGCATTAAAGAGCATAAAAGACAGTTATAGTGATTGGATGTTAGTAGTAACTTTATTAAGTATCAACGCCCAACAAAAGAGGAAAAGAGAGCACCTTGGCAATCTCTGGGTGTGAGTGGAATTTTTCATTCAAAAAGTACTCCACTGCTTTAACATCATGATTGATCACCTTCTTAATTTTCTTGACTTCCAAAGCATCATCAACGTCAAATTCATCAATCAAACTCTGAAGATAAGCCTCAGTATCTTTAGAGAATCTCAGGAGAACTTGAGAAAGTTTTAGCCACCACTTCACCTGGAAAAACAGAAACATGCGAGCGACATTCAAAATGTAAAAAATGGCAAATTTCTTCAGAGTGCAAAGAGAATTAACAAGTTGAACACAGAAAAAAAGAAGTCATGAAATGGCAAATTTACCCTAGTTAGGTGTTAACATGAAACAATCACTAGATTTTGGTGAATGACAGACACCCCTTGACCAAACTGTGAAACATAGAAATTACGGCCCTAAAAGAATGTAATCAGCAGCGCAAAAAGCAAAAATTGAAGCTAAATGATCAATTTTACCCTTGTACATTTATTTCTACCAATGAAACCCAACCAATCTCTAGACTCAACTTCTCCGATTTGTTTTGAGGCATTCTTAGTAGTCAGCTAGGACTTTTTTTTGTTTGTTTTAAACAGGAAGTGATGGAAGCGGGTGGGTGTCTTCTCGAAATTGAGAAGTGGGTACTTCACACTCCTATATGATCAGATATGCTTCATTTTGTTTGAACTCACAGCAGAAAGTAAACGAAGATTATACACACAACTCACAGCAAAAAGTAAAACAAATGATTATACACACGCACCACAAAATATATAGATTCATTGTGTAGGAGAACTCTATACAAAGAAACTCTATAATCAATGCCATACCTCCACCAAAGTGCGAAAGCGGATAATGCCATATTCACTCATAAGAAGTTCCAACTCCTTGGCCTGATCAGCCCAGTAAGGGCCATAAAGCGGGCATGGTGAGGTTAAGCTTACCAGCTTCGAATCATGAGAATAGTTCGAAAACATCATAACCTACAAACAGCAAAAACTAATTTAACCAAAAAGAAACTAAAAAAAAATAAAAATAAATTTAACCACTTCAGACCAAGCCACCCAGAATAATAATTCTTAACCACTGGCTACATATTTACACTTGACTTAGAAACTACCAATTCAGGATTTTCGCTAATTACTCCTATACATATATATATATATATATATATTGAAATAAAAAAGAATAAATTATAAAATTAAAAATATGCAATGCCTTAATATTAACTTTTTCTAGGGTGAAGGAAAACATTACTTTATCTACAATATCTTGATCAATCCTGCTGGGATGGTGGCTGGCTTTGCAATAGATACGATCTTGATGGCCGGTGCGAAGCCACGGCATAGCACTTGATGAAAATATTCCACGATGTAGGTTAGGATTTATGACAATCGCCGGCGGGTGAAAAAGGTTCGCGCCCGGATATGAAGAAACCATGGAGGACATCGTTGTCGCCGCCGCTTTCAGTTCCATCTCAACTTGTGTGCACAATAATAATATCGAATACGACAAAGGTTTGGATTTCTCCTATTTTTATATAGAAAAAGACGGCCGCTTTTAGCAGCCTTTCTATTTGGGCTTTTGGGCCGCTCTATTACCCGAGTTGTCTTGTTCCAATTTATTAGAGATATTTATTATGAATTGTGTTTGTTAGATTCTGTTCGAGTCCAATCCAAAAACTTCAGAAAATTGAAAGAAAGAGGGAGATCACTATGGTCAAAGTGATAAGCTGTTTTGGTTCTCTTAAATGAGGTATCGGATTCGATTCTCGTGAATAGAAAGATTAATGTTAAGAGAGTTTTCTCTTCGAAAGGGGAACGACCCGCTTCGGTAGGGGAACGACCCGCCTCGATGCGAATTAAACTGAGATAATTAGGCTTCATAATACCAATAAAAAGACTCCAAGTACCTAAAACCAAGGAACCATATCTCCCCTAACTTATCAACTGACTCTAAAATAAAACGTGAACTCATTAGAAAATAAACATAATTAAACAAGAGTAAAACATTAACAACATGAACTAATACATATTTATCTTCTACTGCATTTCAGCGTTAGATATTAAGGATTTTTTTATTCTTTATCAAACAAAAATTAATTAATGGCGGCTTCGATTTTCTCCACGTGAAGATGCCAAAAACTTCATAAAAAGTTTTTGGTTCCCTCGTGATTATGTTTCACATTATTGGTTTACTAATTTGAAGAAAACTCTGCAGTAAAAAAGTTTACACCATTACATATACACATCACTGTTACAGTAAATTGTTAGGTATAACGTGCTGTAAATCTACATCATGTTCAACAGTTTGCGTCCGAATGGTACTATGGATCTATCAAATTAAAACATAATGGCTCTATCAGATGACAAGTGAAAATGATCAAGTTCTTCCAAAAAACATATGCCATCTGAACAAGCCAGTAAATGATTGTGAAATGGTAACCAACGAAATTATGCATTCTTTATTTCAAAAAGGTAAATTCAATCGTCATCATACATGATAGTTATTGCTTTTATCGTCAAAAGATGACGAATTTAAGCAGAAATATGGAACATGTTCATTACTTATGTTGATGTGTTTTAAGTACGTCTGCTTGCATCCATTAATTAATTATTTATTTTCTTACCATTTATATATCCTTCTACTTTTTGGTTAAACAAGAGATTGATCAGCATATGAATGAAAATATTCAAAAGGGAACTTGAGCTTGAAATGTGTGTGTGCACGCGCGTGTTGAGTCTTTATCTCTTATTGTTTTGTTTTTAATTTTTTCCATTTACTACCAATATTGATAACTTTAAATGTTTCTGGAAAACATGATTATATTCAGCTTACAATCAACATACAATAATAATAATAATAAAAAAAAAACTTCGTTTATGATGGTGAATGTAGTGAACCCCTTTTGTATTTGTCATCTAATTTCTGGTTCACACGAAATTTCTTTTGCCCAAAAATTTTAAACAATTCCCATTTTAATGATTAAAAAATTAAAGGTATTAACCGTGTACTTATTTGTTCTCACAATCTGCCGCTATAAAATACGTATATACGCATCCTCCTTCACCACAAAACTAATTAATGTGAAGTTTGGAGGGAAACTCAAAAGCTGAAATCAGCTTTGTGGTGACATTCAGCTTTTGAGAATAAAACTCATGACATTCATTCAATGATTGGTATTTTATTGATTCTTTCCCATGAGAGCCGTCCAAGCGATTTTTTTGTCTGTTCATCCGGTTCTTTATTTACTTCGTTGAAGAAAAATAATACCATAACAAAATTGACTATTAAAACTGGACGCAGTATAACAGTCTCTGGAGATGATGGCCTACGGCTGCGCTAGCTATTCTCACATCCAAAAATAAGGCGAAAATTGCACTTTAATAATTATGATATTGAGTATTCGTTCTCATGCACTAATGCTGTGAGAATAAGGTTACTCATACACACAATAAGAATAAGCAAATGAAACTTCTTTAATCAATTCTTGCAAATGCTTTTGACTCCCTGCCTTTAAGAATTCAATGATTTCTCAGATAATAATACTACTAATAGATAGAAGGTTAAGGGTCCTACAAGACGGGGGCTTAGAACTATGCATGATGATTTGTTTAGCGTACAGAAGTAAGGATGTTAGTTAAGAGCTCACTGGATCACGAAGTAAATCCTAGACTTTAAGAATTAACACTTCTTCAATTCTATGGCGGCAAACAATCTTTTACTTGTTTGTTTTTTTCTGAAACGATTCAATATATTGATCTGTTCTAAGAGATTTTAATATTAAAATTAATTTATATTCACGGTGTACTTTGCAAATCTTTCCAATAGTTGAAAGTAACATCTTGAAATTTCGCTCAATCTACCACGGATAAATGACACCTTCTTTGTTCCAAATAATTTTCCTTACAACATACTCACTCCAGTCCTTAATATAAGACATTTTGATTTTTGTCATGGATTTCACCTTTTACGTCATTTTAATTGACGAAAAATTCTTAAAAGAATATTTTCATGTTCCTTGTATTCACTTGATAGTTATGAAATATTTTTAAAGTTTCTTTTGTCAATTACTAAGTTTTTTCTTGTAGCGCGTTACGCGACCAGTTTGTATTTGTAGTATATCATAGATAGACTGAATATGTTCAATATTAAAGCTATCAAAGTTGTCGATTTCTTCTTGAAGGTGTGATACTTTCTTCTCCGTAAAATTCAAGTACGAAGATTTTAGGTTTCTGACTTTGCCCCCTAAACAATTTCATGTCGATTTTTTTCCCCCTTTTGTTCCAATCGTCACCGGTTTCTACTCTTTTGTTGCAAAGTAATTTGTTTTTGTTGCATCTGAGTACCTGTTGATTATTTCCTATTTTAACTTCTATCTACTGCATTCATATTAGTGACTTCTCCCTCTTTTATTTTAAAGTCGTTTCTGCATATGCGTTTTTGTTGCTCTACGTATAATCGCTCTTGTGATTAGGACTCAAAATTTGTAGAGCATGACACTGATATTTTAATTCGGTTGCACCTTAATGATACTGTGAGGTTCCAATCTTTTAAGTTTGCGACTGGGTGTTGAAAATTTTGATTTTGATGATTTCTTTTGCAACAGAACTAAAGTTTCATCTCTCTTAGAGTCTGAGTATGGCATTAGTAATGATGTTATTGCTGGTCATGAAGCTTGAAAAGCTATTCCAGAATGCCTTCATCTTTGAATCTATCTTCAGATTTGGTACTCAGGGTTTTCTCTTTGTAATTTTAAGAAAAATATCATCTTCTGGAACAAGAAACCGGTCATACCATTTCCAGCCACCAGTCCGTTACTAATGTTGGAACCTTTCAGAAGAAAAGAATTGCCAAGTGTTCTAAGTAGTCGAATTTGCGAGTGGCGTCACTGGCCTGCAAAGCCTCCAATATCTAACTCGGCAAGCATATGGGACTTCAATTGATGGATTTAAACAGGTAACTTTGTAGTTGGTTCTAGTTTAATAATTCTATTAAAGGGTGTAGGGGTTAGTTTTCTGTAGTCGTGCGTTGCGCGACCAGTTCATATTCGCAATGTATTATAAATTAAATTTAAAAGTGATAATTTTATTAAAAAATGTATTTTGCTACAATTTTACGATGAGTAATGGAATTTATTTAAATTCTACAGTCATATTTGCTTTTATAGTACATGATTTTAGAAAATATGGAATATCCTTGTCTCAAGTCTCATACAATTCCTATTCTTTTGAGGCAGGCCTATGCTACACGAAATAATTTCTCCTTGGAAACATCGACAAAAACTAAAAAGAATCAATGTTATTAAGTAAACACCGCTTAATTTTTTCCCAACCTCTATATTACTGTGATGAAGTAATTTATTTGGAGACTATATAATGAAGTGTATTTATACGCAGACATGATAATTAAATACCTTTATAAAAGAAAGTTTACAAGAACAAATAAATCTCGCATAAATGATCTAGCATGTGTTTTGACATATTCAGGCCATCAGTACAAACTGGATCACAACCGGCTTTCAAAGCAAAGAGTAGTTGGATTGGTTCCCGACATCCAAACTAAGTGTTCATAAGATTTTGATGCTCGAGACAGACAAAATCCAACACCCATTGATCTTTTGATGCTCGCTTGTTTTCTGGACAAGATGGAACTTTCCCATTGAATCATAGTATCAGGGATAACAATTAGAGGTTCACGAGGACCAGAGCTCCCACAAACTAAATCCAGCACCACGGGACATGACGATTGCCCATCTAGTTACCGCAGTTGCCATTGTTGTGACATAGAAATCCCTCCCTCCATTTCTTGTTAATCCATTTGAAAGATTGATTAGGTCTCATAGCTGGTTGAGAGAATATGGTATTGAAACGTAAATTTAAATGAAAGAACAACAAAATTCCCAACATCTTTCATTTCTTACAAGGAGGATTCAAGAACTTATGTCATAGAGTTTGTTTCATGGTGCAGTCAAATCTTTCGCTTCACGTATTAGAAAATTTAATAAGAGAAAGGTCAAATAGCTACCATAATCCATCCAAAATTGATTAAAAAATGGCACAAGAGTATACCATCATAAACTTGAAATCCTCCATAACTCCTGCCACACAATTTTCCACTGTTCAAGAAGGCAAATGTTTTATAAGTCAAACAGTACAACAACATACCGTATAGAGGAACAGCACGTTAGCAAGAATGCATATGTCTAATAGCCAGAAAAGCAAAGTATCAACTTATATATTACATGCGCAGTGTAAATATTAACAACACCTAAATGGAACGAAATGAATGAGAGATGCAGCTCACAACCAGCATAATAGACATACCACATAGAGATAAAACCAAATTATATACTCCAAAACCAGAAAGAAATTAAACTAATAAATCAACAAATAAAAGTATCATAAAAGATTGATGATCAAAACCAAACGGTCAAATCTAATCTCAAACCCCGACTAACTTCGCCACTAAAACCA